AGTTCCCATGCCATGGTATAACGAAAGGAACCCAAACACCATAACCCTTTCGTCCCTTATCCCAAAATAGGGGGAAAAATGCCCCCAAAACGCCTGATCCTATGCATCCATGCATGTTCTCTGCTTCGTCAGTTGATACACGTACACGCCGTTCTTTACAACTCCCACTCCCAGCCCTATCTTTTATTGCGGCAATCACTCCGCGTCCAAATCTTCATCTGTATCTCCCTCGGCATCTCTATCCGTCCCCGCATGCACATCCACATCTTCATCCGTACCCCCCTCGGCGTCTTTAGAGGAATTCTACTCCGCGGGTGGACTAGCCACACGCTGCTCTTCCTCTTCCTCTTCTCCCTCGGAACACTACTCTCCAGGACTCGCCACACTACCCCCCGGCTCCACACTCGCACTCGCCCTACTCCTCTCCTTCGCACCGCCACCACCCAGACTGAGCTTGATCTTCTTCTTCTTGGGAGAATCGCCGCCGACATCATCAACATCTCTGTCCCGCTTGCCTTCCCCTCTTTCACTACTCTCACTATGTTTCCGATCACCTATATCCGGTCTTCCTGTTTTTAACTTGACTTTCAACGTGCCGTTACTGCCACCACCACTCCCATTAGACGGTTTATCGCGATCCGCTTTCTTGATATACGAGCTCTTCTTCTTCATCTTGCGGCGCTCGGGGGTATCGTCGGCGTCGAAGTCGTCTGCGTCGTCGGTGGCGGCGAGGCGTTTGACGGGCGAGATGCCCTTTGATTTACTGCTTGTTTTGGTCTTCTCGGAGGGGTCTTGGGAGCCAGGCGCAGGCGTGCCCATGCGGCTTCCGAGCGGCGTGTTGCCGACGCCTGAGCCTGTGCCGTTTTGACCAGTGAGTTTAGCCATGGCGTTGCGCGAGGACTGGCGGCCGCTGATGCCGAGGCACTTTTCGAGGTGTTGTGCGAATCGCGTTATGAGTAAGCTGCGCTTGCAGTTGGGGCAGGTGTGCCACGGGATGTACGAGGCGGGCTTGCCGCCGGTGTTGAGTTTGATTTCCTTGGTGTCGCCGCCGGCCATGTCGGTGTCTTGGGAGCCGGGGGTGCCCACGCTCTCCTTTTCGGCGTTCTTCTGCTGCTGCTTGATGAGCTCGCGTTCCTTCTTGCTCTTAGCCATGTCGGTGGGGAACGGGTTGCCGTAGACGTCGTGACCGGATCGCTGGACCCATGGATACAGCATGCAGTACTCCTTGGTCAGGTCGGGGTTCTGCATGCCCTTGCCCATGATGGGGTGCATCAGCCGGGGCAGCTTGCAGTGCGGACATATGATCTCGGGCGTCGTCTTGAGCGGGTTGCCCTTGAGGAAGACGCGTCCGTTCTCGTACTTGGCGGCGGATGTCTCAGCGATGGGTATCGACGTGGCGCCCGTCGTGTTTTGCTTCTGCGACTGGGGCTCGAGGTTGGCGAGGGCGATGGATTCGGCCTGGGTGGCCGCCGACTGCATGCGGAGCAGCTTCTCGGAGCGGTGGCACGACAGGGCCGTGGTGAAGACGATGTTGCTCAGCAAGTCGTCGAGGATGTTGGTAGTCTGCGACACGATTGTTAGTAGCCGAGGAGGCGGTTTGCGGCGGACAGGCGTACCAATTCTGCCAGCGCGTCCGAGGGCAGGCCGACGGCGGCGTCGACGCCCTCGGCCTGGTCGTCTGCCGGGCGGTCCTCAGACATGACGCAGCTGGGCGTGGTGGACGATCGTGTTCAGGGCGTGGAGAAATGGTTGCTGAGACGTTAGCGGCCACGACGGGAGATATCGCGCATCCCTGCTCCGGCTCCGATTTAGCGCATGCAGCCAGAGTTGGCCTACCCCACACACCCACCCACACACCGAGAACTGCGTGTTCACCCAAGAATTGAAGGTGGAGCTGCGCGTCTCCACTGATGCATAAGTGTGACTACAAGCAATGGGTATCATTCAGAGCATCTATCCACGCCTATCTTGGCTACCTAGACTACCTCCCATCGCGCCAGCCTGCCGATGGTACTTCCCGCCTGTCGCACAATGCACACGCGATCCGATTTTGGCACGCCCGAGTCAGACCCAGGGGCGACCACCTTGTGCATTACCAGATTCGCAACCGCTGTCGGCATGCCTTCTGCGAGGTTGTAGTTGCCCGTTGTGACGAAGCCGATGAGATCCACTTCGTCAGGCACTAGAGGGTAATTCTCCTCGCCAGCGCTCGGTGGGCCGTTGTCTAGGAGACTCCTTGCAAGATCCCTGCGCTGGATATGGTCTGGCTGCTTAACGACACCTCGACTCTGTTGCTTCGTCGACGTACGCTTCGTGCCGGGTTGTGGCAGCAGGGCCAGCCATTCGCTTCGAAGTTGTGGGTCGCTCGGCAGTCGGTAGATGCGAGCGCAGTCTGTAGGGGTGCCTCGTTGGACCATTGTGATCTTGACAGTGAATACATCTGATGGCAACAACGAGCCGCTCGACGAAGCCGTGCCGTCAACCATACCAGCTGCTTGTCTGAACGAGAGCTGTCTGACAGGAGTTCGAGATTCTTGACGTGAAGACACATCTGTAATCAACCTCTGCCAGTCGCAAGACCACGGATCTCCAACCTCGCCCTTCCTACCCTTACCAAGATCAATAGTCGACCATTCAATCCTCTTCCCCTTCGGACGCTTGGTCCACTCGTGATTCCTTACTTCACGCTCACGCTCTTCCCAGACCCAACCAGCCTCTGTACCAGGATGGTCGTACGGGAAGTGCGGCTTCGAGCGCTCAAAGTCCACCTGACGTCTCTCTTTCAAGCCGCCGAATCTGGGGTTGCCGCCTGTGGAAACCGGGTAGCGCATAATTTGTCGCCATACAGGCATCACGCATTTCCAGGGGAGGAGAATGGTCCAGGACTTGCTTTCTCGTGACACAAATACAAGTGTCGGAATGCGTGGGTCTGTGGATCGTGCCTCAGGGTCTTCGCCTAATGTGCATGCGCCCTTCCGGCGATTGATGGATTTTTGAGAGGGCATGGTTCGCTGTGCGGCTAGTCGGCTGTTGGTGTCGAAGATGGAGGCTGCAGTGAGGGTATTGTCGATTGGCCAGGTTGCAAGAGTTTCCGTCAAGGCAGTCAGCGACTGCTGATCATGTGCTATCGGGGAAGTGCGAGGAGGATCGCGAAGTCGGGGATCTGAAATATCAAACGACAACAGCGCACCGGCTGGTAACGATGCAGCGTCCGTCACAGAAGCCAAAGCCGGCCATAGTGACTGTGGAGTATCAGAGCCAGCCTCAGGAGAAGGCACAGGGGCAAGAACAGAGCAGAGGGCCTCCGCAGCGGCCGGGCCTACAACCTCAATAGACCCAATTTCGAAGCGGAGATCTCGCACGGTAACAGCTGGCTTCTGTACTTTAGCAGTCCGAACAACTTCCTCCCAGAGCTGCAAGAAAGCGCCCGGATGCACCCGAATGAAGGCTTTCGTCTTTTTGCCGTCCGCATGCAGTGCACACCAGATGACAGTCACCCGGGCGATCTTCACCAACGGCTTCGCTTCTCTTTCGTAAATCCAGCCTTCCCAGGTCCTAGTGCCATTGCGCCACTTCTTAGCCCTGCCTCTGTTCTGCCATGGATCATCTGTGTCCTCTGCAGAGAAGTGAAGACCCTTGAGTAACCCCGTTATACTGGCTTCAGGACCCTCCAGGCTGAGGGTCGACATGTAGCTCATATCCCACGCGACAGCTCCCCGCTGGGTTGCAGCTCTGTGTGTGAGACGGTATGCCTTGACCGCTGGCTGCAACGGTATCGCAAACCGCCAGAGAGGCTCTTTCGGATCCGTCATCTTTGCGCGCTTCGTGTGCCACAGGTGCGTAGGAAGCCATGTCTTGTCTCGCTGGCGTCTGCGGAATCGCGATGGAGGGGTAGCGGGCGTGGCCAAGGGCGGGAACTTGCGCTTCGGCTTCGGTGCTGAGGGCTTCGTGACTTGCTTGAGCGCATCCTCCATCTTCGCGTCTCCGTCGTCGTCTTTCCCACTGCCATCCTTCCTCTTCTTCGCCTTCTGCCTGCTCTGCTCCCTCCCCTCCTTCCTCAGGAACTTCTTCTTGCCCTTCCCAATACCACTTCCACTGGTACCTCTGGAAATGGGTGTGTTGTCTTCTTTGGCTTCCTGTCGCGCCCTGACCCGCAATCTCTTCGGCACGCGCTGCGGATTGTGACTTGCGGTCCTCCTCCTCAACTCCCGTGGCACATCCTGAAAAGCCCGTCGCGAGAGCCCTTTCTTGGCCGCCTTCATGGCGCCCTCGAGCGACCTGATCTCATTCTCGTGCGACTTGAGAAAGTTCTTGACGTTGATCTCGCCATTGGGGTACGCGTTGCTAGTCGAAACGGCGGGGATGACGTACTGGGGTCGTTGCTGGAATCTGGTGCGTTTAACAGGATTACCGGGGCCCGTGTTGGCAGGCTGCTTCCTCTTCCTCGAGCTATCGGCCATGGTGGGACGTCTATCAGCTTATGCTATGCTATCTCGAGCTCACTGGGCCAACGGTCGCGGCGACTGAAATCTTAGCGAGATCTCCACACCAACGGGCCTACTAGCGCGGAGTCATTCGTCACGTCCGCACGTGTTACGCCGAAGCACTGACAGCCTACCAGTGCCGCGCTGGACCCTTTGGCATTGGTCTGCTGCATTCTGTTTCATCGCGCCGACCCCCCTAGCCCGTTGTTTGATTAATTACTCCATTCACAACATCTTCATTTCGCGATTCGGCCTAGAGCTCCACTTGCTGTGCCCCCCTGTGATTGCACCTATCCCCTGCATTGTGCGCAGCCACCATGCTGCCCTGTCCATGTGGTCTAGGACATGTCCTGATCATTCAATGTTTTCCCACACTGCGTCTTCACACAACAACAGCATCTCTACTTTGAACAGCGCCCACCCCACTCACATAGCACATCCTCTATCATTACCACACGACGCACCCACCCACCTTGCTATTGCTAGTACATAATGACCACCCACACATACACCACAATGTCTCCGACACCCAGCTTTCAACCTCCTTCCGAGCAAATGTGCAAGATAAATTTCAGCCCACTGCGATCGCCCTCTCCGCGCAAACGTTTCAACACCCACGGGCGCAACCAGTCTGAAGCTATCCAACGCCCGCGGCCCATTAGTGTAGCAGACAACTCTCCAATGGTGCAGCACACGAAAAGGTCCTCGATATACGTGTCAGAGGGATGCTATACTCTCAAGAACCCGTCCATGGCCTCGCCTACGAACGACCCCTCCGACGTTGTCGATCACTACGCTATCCTCGAACTCACACCCAAGGCCACTACCGACGAGATTAGAGCTGCGTATCGCCGTCTGCGAGGTGTGTACTTTGCCAACGACGCGAAGAAGTACCGTGCGCTACAGACTGGCTTCGATTGCCTGATGGACCCGAACACTCGCCAGGTTTACGATGCTTCCTACCAGCCAGCTGCGGCAGCGCCGGATTCGCTGTCTAGTATCGGTGAGGTCCTGGATCAGGGAAAGCACTGGCGCAAGGATAGTGCTCATGGCGACGACGCGAACACCGCCATTCCCGAAGAAGAGGAAGAGGAAGAGGAGGAGCAGGACCTACGGACTGACGACCCGAATTGGGCTCTTAAGCGGTTTCAATGTGAGGGCCATGAGATTATGCTGGGCACTGAGCCGTATCAGTCCTGGATCCCTCTGCCCACATGCTCACTGCGGGCATGTAGAGGACCGAAGTATCTCGGCAATTTCGCAGTGAACGCATATCCGTCCGCGAACTAGTCCTCTTTCCCATCGCTCGATACCCCAAATCTAACAACACAGCCTTACCTACTCGGCTTGATAGCGCCTGAGTTCTTCACGATTGTTTATAGCAGAGCAGGTCTTGCATGCATTTAGCGGTCTGGCCTTGCGGCGCAACTGGGCGGTCACTTTGTTCCTCTTGGTCCCTTTGGTCCCTTTGTCACCTTAGCGTTGTTTTTTGCACACAAGCGGCGATTCACCACATCATCCCCTTTATCTGTACAGGATAGAAAGTCCCAACTTTACTGCAAATTGGCTACACTCACTATATATCTCGTATATCGAGCACACTCTGAATGATAATGTATGACACTAGGAGACTTGGTTCGATCGGCGTGCATATGCATGTGATGAAGTTTATATGGCGAGTCTGAAACATCAGGTCCGCATACGTCGTACGACGGTGTCTACGATATGCAGGAGATATGCAGGACTAGACAAACGACGGGAAGACTAATGGTGTCACGCGAAGGGGGTCATGACATCACGAGGTAGCAGTGCAGTGGGGTGGCAAAGTAGATAGACCAGAGTCGCATTGCTGACATCGATCGCTATGATACAGGGCTCTAAGTTGCAAATGCCACTCTGATCCAATCCTGTCCTGCTCTAAGAAACTGTCGCATGCTGGGTGTCGTCGTGAGCTGTCTACTGGTCGAGCTTCACGGGAAAGTTGCCAGCCTCTATATCATGTGTTAGCTATAGCTCTTTCAAAGTCCATTGCGCATGCAGACAGATGTTTCGGAATCAGATACTCACCACGCTGGTCGTCCCATCGCGATGTCCAGCCGCTGGGGCACAGGGACTTGTAGGCCAACATGAACTATATCCATCAGTATACATGCCTATCTTCAATGCGACGTTTCCGGAGTGCGCACCTGGCGGCAGGGGGCAAAGTCCTCGCCCTTGGCGATGATGCACTTGTGGTAGTCGACGTAGTTTTGCCAGCAGTGCTTGGTCTGGTTCTGGTTGGGGAAGCGGGCATCGAAGCCTATATGCGCCGAAGCATGTTAGCACCCAATACGGCCCATCTCAAGCTCCAGGCGTCATTTCGGCAGGCGGTGCAGGGCGCAGAGCAAGTCCGGGGAAGGCGTACCAGCTGTGCGGCGGCAGATTAGCGATTGAAGCTCTCCATGCGGAGGTGCGGGAAAAGCTCACCAGTGACAAACTTGAAGGGCTTGGTTACGAGCTCGTCGCCGTTCTCGCCGTTCTCGTTGTCAGACATGATTGCGATGGGGGATTGGGCGTGGTTCGGGCGTGGGCGTGGGCGTGGCGGCAATGGCAGGCGGGCGTGTGGCAGTCGAAGTGGTGACGGAAGTGAAGTTGTGAGGTTGCGATGGTTCGACCCGAAACGCATTGTCCACACACAATTCGCTCGGCGTTTTCCGGGCGACAGGGCCCGCGAGCTCTCTCAGCATCTGCGTGCCTCACTGTGACGAAAGCCCCGGAAGACGTCCTTCGATCCCCCACGACAACGTCTACGAACAATCCTCCACCCCAATTGCGAAGTCAGCAATACCGCCACCATGTTCAAAGCCACCCGCGCCCTCTCCATGCAGCCAACTCGTATGTTGGCCATGCAGCCAACACGCATGGCGGCCATGCAACCTACGCGCATGATGGCCATGCGCCAGAGCCCCCAGCTCATGATGAGGCAGACAATGGGCCTGCGCAACCCCGTCCCCGTATGCCTCGCCGCCTTCCATCTTCTGGGAACTTGATGCTGACTATACTGCAGAAGGAGGAGCACGGCGGTAAGCCAATCACAGCATCCACTTTATGCCATTGAACATGAATTGACGATTGACCATGTAGCCCACACCGTATCCCAGCGCATCCGCCAGCTCAAGAACATCCCCACTGAGATCTGGCCTCTGAGTACGTCTACCTCCACCCGTATCCCTGACTCTTGCTAACCCAGACTCTAGTCGTCGTCCTCGCGTAAGCCCCTCCATTGCGCCCGCATACACCCTCATACCCTCATACCCTCATAACACGTAGTCTAATACATCTACAGCATCGCCGTCGGCATGGCCTTCTTCTCCATCACCCGGAAACTCTGGGTCGACAAGACGCTCCGTCTCAAGCGACAGGGCAAGCAGGACTAGATGTCCAGTTGGTGAGGAATAGGACACAGGAGAGATGGAATCGGCGGGCTTGGAAGGGCTCCAGCAGCCATTGTGTATAGGTACAGCATACGGGATAGAGTCCGAGTCACGTTCGATAATCAAGCATGAGATCCCTTTGTGTTGTGTAGTTGATATGATATGCACGAGACAGCACTTGGCATCAAATATTTCCCAAACGCCTGCAAACGCCATGCTATGAGACCAAAGAACCAAAGAGATTACACTGGCTTCGGTCCAGCCTCGTCAAGACCCTCCAGGCCCTGCATAGGGTCCATGGGCCCGTTCGCCTCCTCTTGAATCTGCTCACTTGCTTTGCGATCCTCCTCACTCACGGCATGCTTGGCCAACCAGCCCTCCTGCGTTTTGTTAGCATTGTTCGACGTGTAATTTTTCAGATTAAAAGAAACGTACCTGCTCCCAAATGGCGGTCTTGCTGCCTAACCCTTCATTCGCGTCTTTCTGTGGCTTGGCTGCTGCTACCTTGATGACAGAACCGTACAGCTCACTCCGGTCCATGTTGTCGATGGCGTCGGTCGCGTCGGTCGCAGTCTCAAACTCAACATAGCCGAACCCCCGATGTTGATCGCCCTGGCTCTGGTTCTCCGGTTTGGGCAAGTTGACTTCGACAATATCGCCGAATGGCAGGAAGGCGTGGAAAAGCGTCTGTTGGGTGACTGCCTGGTCGAGGCCGCCGACGAACACGGTGGCCTTTAGTCGTGACGTGTCTGATAAATTCGACATGGTTGCCTGTGGAATGCGATTTGCGATTTTGGTGGTAGGATAGTCGTGTTCTCTTGACCGCGCGCTGAAATTCGATATCACGTGGTTAGCGGGACCCACCTTGGCTGGCGCGCCCGCCATGGACCAGGGAAGGACAGGTGGATGGTCCTGGTGAAGCACGTCGTTGCCTCAACTCCCAGTCCGCGCTCAAGACACATTGCGGACTCTCTTTAACACCACATAACCCTCCCGTCGCCCTCTACAAAACCCGCTCCCTTGTCCATCATTTTGTTTGTGCCGTATTCCCCAATTCGCTAATCTGACACCGAGGCGCCATCACCGCCCAACACCGTCATGGTCCGCCTACGAGAAATCCCCCGGACCGCCTGCTTCGCCTGGTCGCCAGGCCCGACGCAGCCCCTGATTGCTACTGGAACCAAGGCTGGGGCTGTGGATGCCGACTTTTCAAATGAAACACAATTAGAGCTCTGGGAGCTCAAGTTGGACGACAGTGAGCAGGGCGTCGAACTCAAGCCCGTTGCTACTGTGAGCGTAGAGTCGAGGTACTAGAGGATATTCCTAAGCCATTGGGACCAAGGAACTAAACGGCATGCCAGGTTCAACGACATTGCGTGGAGTCAACCCAGCGAACAGTACCCGCGGGGCATAATAGCGGGCGCACTCGACAGCGGGGCACTCGTGCTATGGGACGCAGAGAAGCTGCAGGCAGGCGAAGGGTCAGAGCGCATGGACAGCTGCATGCAACCACAGAGTGCTGACGTTATGCAGCGACGATGCGGAAATTGACCAGATCGACAAGCACACCGGCCCCATCCAGGCGATACAGTTCAACCCCTTCCGATCCAACATCCTCGCCTCGGCCGGTGCCAAGGGCGAACTCTACGTCCACGACCTCGCCGACGACTCCAAGTCCTTCCGCCTCGGCAAGGCTGGAGCGAACCCCGACGAATACACTACACTGGACTGGAATAAGAAGGTTGCGCATATCCTGGCAACCGGCAGCAGCGGCGGCTTTGTCACCGTCTGGGACGTCAAGCTCAAGAAGGAGAACCTCACATTAAACCACTATGGACGGAAAACAGTCAGCGCGGTTTCCTGGGACCCCAATGTGCCCACGAGACTAGTCACTGCTATCCCGACCGACCAGAACCCGCTCGTGCTGGTATGGGACCTCCGCAACACCAATGCGCCCGAGAAGACACTTCAAGCACACGACCAGGGCGTGCTGTCGCTTTCGTGGTGTGTTCAAGACAGCGACCTTTTGTTGTCTTGCGGCAAGGACAACAGGACGATTGCCTGGAACCCGCACACCGGCGAGCAACTGGGCGAGTTCCCAGTCGTGACAAACTGGACCTTCCAGACCAGATTCAACCCTTCGAACCCGAACCTCCTCGCGACCGCATCCTTCGACGGCAAGATCGCAGTTCAAACACTACAAAACACTGGGGCTGGCGCGGACCAGAACAAGGCCGCGACGGAGGCGCCTGCAGGCGAGGACTTCTTCGCTCAGACCCACGCAGAACCCCAGGGCGCATCCTTCTCACTGAAGACACCCCCGAAGTGGCTGAAGAGGAGAGCCGGTGTGGCTTTTGGCTTTGGTGGAAAGCTGGTGCGATTCGGCATCGTCGATAACAAGTCCAAGATTTCTATCTCCACATTTGCTGTAGACTCGGACGTCAGTGCAGCGAGCGAGGAGTTCGACAAGGCTCTAGACAAGGGTGATATTACGGCAATCTGCGAGTCGAAGATTGCAAAGGCAGCCAATGAGGAAGAGAAGGCCGACTGGACCGTGATTGAGACCCTCACGTCGGAGAACCCGCGAAGCAAGCTTGTCGAGTACCTGGGCTTCTCCGACAAGGATGAAGAGCCAGAAGAAGAGAAGAAGGAGGAGAAGACAAACGGCGATGCGGATGAGGGGTCCTCGTTCTTCGACAATGCGACAGACGAGGGCAACTTCCTGTCCGATCTCGCGGCTTCCAAGGGCGCGAAGACCAACAACCCCTTCCAGATCTACACTGGTTCCGAGTCGGAAGCTGACACCAAGATCACCCGCAACCTCATGCTTGGTGACTTCAACGCGGCGTTGGACGTGTGCCTAAAGGAGAACCGACT